TTACTCAGACGCAGGCAGTGTGCTGCATGAGACAAAGAAGTAATATAGCCAAAACAACCACATAGCCGCTCTTTAGTATAGATGCATGTTGATTTTATCAGACGATGCCGCGATTATAAATGAGAGTGACTCCTGGTTAACATGTATTAAAAGGGGTCGTGTTTAGTCACTATTTAGTGGTATTTTTTGACAATATTTACTCATCATGACAGTAAAATAGGGCATTCTAAGTCAATATACTGCAGTATTTCCCCTCTCAATCAGTAGAAAATATGGTTAACACCTGGTCATGCATGAAAAAAAAAACCTTGTACCATGAAACCGGTATAATTTTGAAAAATACAGTGATATAAATTTTTGGTCATACCGCCCAGCACTACTCATAATGTAAATAACCATTCTAAAGTTTAGGATTGAGTTCTTTTTAAGAAATAAATGCTTTTATTCAGCAAAGCATACATTCAGTTGGTAAAAAGTGACGGTAAAGACATTTAAAATACAGACCCCAAATTTTTGAATGATAATAGTCAAATCTCAAATTAGAACAATGTTGTTATAAAAATCCTTTGCTCTGTGAATGTTTTGCACTGTTATTTTTATTTCTGCTTAAGGTTGCAGCTCTTCAACAGAATGGCTTTCCTCTTCATGTGTTAATTTTGTCATGATTTCCACAAAAATATTAAGCGGAACATGAAATCTTTCTTGAGCACTAAATCTGAATATTACATTCCTACATGTAATTATGAGATTGTTTCCTGCTAATAGCCTTTGGATGCATGAATTCAATCAAGGGTTTTAAAAACCCTAAAAAGATCTTAAATTACATGCTTTCAAAAAGAATCCAGGATCACATGATCATAACTGCTAATTTACTTCCTTGAAGTGACCGTCATAAAGTATGTACCCTACCCTTCACTAACAGCATTGTGGACGAGCACTTAGGGTGCACACATTTAGGGTTCACACTTGGTTTGATTGCCTGGTCTGAACTCGAGTTGGATTGCTTCCCCTCCCCCTGCACCCCCTGGACTGCATTCATATTATTTTATTTGGGTCCAAACCACGGTTAGTTTGCGTCATCAAGCCAGCAGCTGTTTATCCCATTGCTTAGTAACAACGGCACATTAACGGCATAGCATTGCTCTCTTCACTTTTATATTTATTGGTTTTGAACCGTTGATTTTGTTTCCAAAGCTTCAGTACATAACGACTCAGTACTTGCGTCTGTCTTACGAATGTACTGCAAATGCTCTAAAGAACGCTGAAGGCAAACAGAAATTACATGTACAGCACTCTGCTTGCAGCACGTCACTCAGGCTTGTCAGGAAAATTAGTGAAACACACTCGCAAACACACATTTTTATCAAAGTGGTTCACTTCCACGATTGGTACAATTACGTTCATATCAGCAGCAAACCGTACCGGAGTTCACTTGAACCGTACCCCAGACCACCCCTTTTAAGCGGACTCTGGTACGGTTGGCAGGTGGACACCCGAGTTCAGAAGACCGTGTTCACGTCATTCAAACGTACTGAACTCTGACGTCACTTTTGTTTGGAAACACAACCCCACAAGTAGTACCCCCTCCCTGCAGTGGCCTTCAAGGGCACAAAAAAACACATGGGTTGTGTTCAATTGTCCTGTAAAACATATTTTCAGACACTGGTTTGAACTGTGATGTTTGTAAACCCATTTTCTCCTTCTCTTCGTCTTCTTCACAGGGTGCCCATTCCGCCACAGCGACCCTGAGCTGTTGAAACAGAAGTTGCAGAACTATAAAGTCTCCCCTAGTGGGATCAATCAGGTTTGTCCAACAACTAACACACACTTGACCAGATTCAGCACTGTGCGAAGGCAGAGAGAGTGTAAAGGGCTTTTTAAAACTTAACTTGGCATCCATTAAAATGATTTGCACAAATTCACCTCTCCATGACCACAGACAAAACAAAATCTACCAAATAATTGGTAGAAAGTACATTAGTTTGACAATTAAAATGATACGGCTGTATAGTAATCATACAAAAATGGTGTGATTCATTTTTAACAAGGCATCCCTGAAAGCCCTATCCTGCAGTACTTTTGGAATATTAATGACAAAAAGAAATAACGCTCATGATTCTCCAGTGTAATGACAGCTTCGGCTCCGTGTTGATTACTTTGACCTTTGCTGTATCCAGTGATTTGATGCATTCTTTAAAGTACTCTTAAAAGTTACACATATTAAAGCAGCTCCAACAGCCAGGCAGTGAAATGAGATGGACCAGCCTTGCTGCAATGTTCTCATGGAGTTATAATCCTTTGACGCTAATGTAATTAACGAACTGGTATTAATAAGACCATTAAGTTCAGCTTTACAAGGCTATTAAAAATATATACATAAAGCCAAATCTTGCATACTATCTCTGGTATTACTGTAGCTGATACGACTGAAGTTAGCGATCAAAAATTAATGTCATATAATCAAACATATTTTTACATTATATATTTACATTTATATTAGTATTATTTGTTTATTATTATTACTATATTTTTATTATTTTTGGGGGGTATTTGAACTGTAAATGATGATAATGTTTAATGTTGTACACATAATATTGAAGATATGCATATAATGTTGAAATATGTTGAAAATGATATTTTTAAACTTAAATTATATAAAGCATATAATTTAAAGTGTATGAAAATCATTCTTAGCTATTTGAGAAACGTTAGCTTGTTCCCCTCTTGTAAGGTGTGCTGGGGGGGTTTTTTCTGCTCACATGCTTTGTCCACTACCACCCATCGTGCGGTTGAGGGAAATGCCTGATGGCTGCCTAATGCAAGGCAAGGCAAGTTTATTTGTATAGCACATTTCATACACAATGGTAATTCAAAGTGCTTTACATAAAATAAAATAAAAACAATAATCACAACAATAAAACAAGGAATTTAAAAACTTTGAAGAAAAAAAAATTGATATAAGAGGTTTAAAATGAATTTAAGAAGACGATTATACATATAATATAGTGCAATCAGTTTGGACATCGCACAGTGCTCATTCAATAAATGCACAGCTAAACAGATGAGTTTTGAGTCTGCATTTAAATGTGACTAATGTTTTAGCACATCTGATCTCTTCTGGAAGCTGATTCCAACTGCGGGTGGCATGATAACTAAAAGCACATTCCCCTTGTTTTGTGTGAACCGGTAGAATACCAGTATTCACAAGCCTTGTCATAGCCGAATCTGGGGTAGAGGATGCTACGGCAGCAATACGAGAAACTCGTGACAATCTGATGTCTCTACTGCCTTTGGGTCTCGCTCCCTGTTTGTGCCATCGATTTGTGTGACAATCAGTTTCGGCTTGTTTCTCTACACTTATAAATATAAATTGTTGAGATTGACTAGGTTCATGAGACTCACCGGCTGTATGCTGATGGGGTCCGTGACGACGGTCTGCTGAGTGTTCTGCCTGTTTTGGAAATCCAGCAAGTAACTTAGTTTCAAGAACCGTAATCCTTTGTAGAAGTTTGCAGTAGTAATGCAGTCCGACATGCCAGCCCAAGGGTAGCACATTTCCAATCCAGTTAAATTCATAAAAGCAGTGTCCTTACACACTCTCAGTGTTCAGAGTCTTAGACCTGTGGACGCGTGAAGCAACATCTTGATGTTCACCCCAGGAGCTCGCGCATCACGTGGCCCTCTCGCTGCAGCGCCAGCCCAGTGCGCTGGATAATTAAAACCCTCAGAAAATGTGAAAAGCCCGGGTAGTAGGGTGATTAAAATGCACAACGTCAATCTTCTCAGTCAACCTGCCTATTGACAGTGACATTACAGTCAAAAGGGCGAGACTCCAGTCTGGAAAGAGAACTGCTGTAGAAAAGTGAGCTCACCTCTCTCACTCACAGTTAGAGCCCGTCACAGCGTGACACTTACCTTAGGAAGTGCAGATTAAAGGGTTGCATGCTTGGTTCAAACGGTGGAAAAAGAAGGGAGAACATGTCGAGTAATTTTTCACACCTCCACTTAATACTTGAGCATCCCCTGAAATTATAGTCTTATGTTGTGCCTGTTTGTTTGCTATCAATTTTCTAAGCCACAGATATAATAACACAGTCAGAACTAAGTCAATTTTTTGTCCAATGATTTTGCTAGCAGTATTAAATTAAGTAGCATCATAAATGTTGCAATTTCAATGTTTGTTTGTTTTTTTGACAATTGAGTTTTCTTACAAGAATGCCATTTTCTAGCATTGTGATCCTTCCTTGACACTGTGTATAAAGTGTTACAATTATATCTTGATAATGTTTCTGATTTGAACTTCGATGTCAAAAAAGTATTTTGTAGTTTGTAAGTGCCAGTCATTTTATGTGAATCAGTTCAATGAAACGATGCAAAACTTGATTCAATGAGTTAATTGGCATCTCCCCTCAGAAATGTTAAAGGATGTCCTGTTGAGTTTTACGTGTGTTAAAATGTTTGAGTTAAGCATGTAGATAAATGTTGCTGTTTATTACTATAAGAAACCCACAAATCGCTACAAGTCAAATAAGTGCAGTGTTAATATGTAATGCATGTTATTAGCTGTTCTTGGCTATGTTATCCGAAGGCGATATTTGGCAACCAGTGATATTTATCTTGTTTTTCACAGCATACATTGTTCCCCTAGCTGGTGTCTTGCTGTATATTTTACCATTGCTTCCCAGTAGTGTTTGTCTCTGGAGCTTAGAGTTAGGTGTTGGATGGTGTTGGCTCTCACCTTGAAGTCCATGTATTATGCATTTCAGCACTTGCCGATGCTAGCTGAGGTAGAATGCCATGCTTTACCACAGGGAACACATGGTGTTAAAAGCATCACCTGAGGGGAGGTCTGAGCAAAAAAGAAAAGGAAAGAGAAGCAGAATGTGTAACCACTTCTCCATCTCTCTTTGATGGCATTTTGCCTCTGTCTCTCACCTGAAACCTCATAAACGTGTGCTGTGTCAGCGAAAGTAGCACAATGCATTGTTAACAGTGTTATTCATCTTTATTGCTCATCAAAGATTGCTTGGATATTAATTTGACATTTTGGCCTCCTTTGCACCTTCCATTAACATGCGTTGTCAGCGATCAGCTTGTAGTTGGATGTCACATGACCACTAGGGGTGCAACGGATCGTAAATGATCCGTATGGACCAGGCCCCACGGTTCGGCACGCATGTGATTCGTGGATTAACTGTTAAGTTTAACCATCATAGAGTGAAAGTTTATCATTTGCACATGTTTTGTCTTGCCAGTTTACACATTCAAGCAGTTTTAACTTGTGCGCTTTTAACCGAAGCGTACACAGAGGGGGAGAGAGGCATGATTCAGACACAGCGTGATTCCTTTTTTTAGATACACAAAGTTATGTTAAAATACCCGCTTTGGCAAGTATTCTAGTAAACGCAGTTAAATTATTTCTTAAGTGAACGTAAACAGGTGAGAAAGAAACCGGATTTGTGTCAGTACTAGGGCCCTGCATTTGGTCTTAAAGCGACAGCATCCAATAAATACCTGTTTCCGTCTGCTAATCAAATAACACCACAGCTCTAACAAAGATTAATCTGTATTTAACTTGTGCAGTGAGCACTATTGTGTTAAACTTAATTCTCATATTTGTAACTGATTTGTTGTATTCATCTATGCTTGTAGTTTGTGTAATTGTTCTTGTTTTATTACTAACTTTATTAGTTAAGCTAGTAGTTTTTGCTATGGTATAGAAGTACTTAAATTAAGGTTGTTGTTGTTTTTTTGCTGATCTGAAAAATTATCCGATCCGTGACTCAAAGTCCGTACATGATCCACGATGCACCACTAATGACCACATTATAAGTCTGATGTGAATGTACTTCCAAATTCATCATGTTTGGATTCAGAGGTGGTCAGGGACAGTTCTTGACCATATTCTTAATTGAAACGTAAATACTAATGCATTTGTAATATCTAAATACACAAGTAATATGTAATACTGACACTGTTTGTACTACAAATAATCATTATCCGTCACTTTGATGGGCTTGGTTATACATTTTCTGTCTGGCGCAGTTTTTATCTTGTTGTAATGCTTATTAATATACCATTGATATCACAAAAAGCAAGTGTTGTTACTTATTCTTTTTTTCTGCTAGAATTCTTTACTCTGGGGATGTTTCTGAAGTATGGAAGCACATTAAACCATATACTTGTCAGAATGGCAAAAAGCATTTCAAGCTGTCCGTCTGTGTTTTTCAGTTTACACAAGCTCTACGTTGTGAAATGTAAGTGGCGTTTTCCATCTGATCATGCTGGAGACATGATCAAAGGTGTAAATAAAATTGTATTAAAAGATCGTTCAGTTACTCTTTGGCTATGAAGTGCATGTTAATGGAAAGTTTAAGGTAGCTTTGACATTTGATGCTTTTTGCTGTTTTGTGGAGCCAAGAAGTGCTGTTTTTCCTCTTCTTAAAGGCACAATATGTAAGCTTTTTTTTATTAAAATATCCAAAAACCACTAGAACAGTGTTATATAGTTTGCTGACTTGTGTATTTACATTATCCCAAATGTTTCGAAGAATGTTTAAATCCAGAGAAATAAGCAATTTTAACTAGTGACACGGAGCGTGTCTATAGTGTCATTGTGTCGCCTGCCAATGACGTCATAACCCCTCGCTTTCCTGTTTTGTTTTGTAGAAAACATGGAAACACCAAAGACGCTTTAATATGTTGTGCATTTTATTAGACCGGTGACGACCGCACAGAGTAGCATTATAAAAGAACTTTCAAATGTATCTAGTATGATAAAACAGCACTGCTTACTTCTGATGCTTTCCGGAAGGAGCGGAAGCGGTCGACTGTGGCTTAATAAAAGCTCCGCTGCTTTCGAGCAGTGTGTCACGCTCGTTCAGCGGCCTCGCTTTGCTTCAAGGGATTTCAGCCTCACCCTGCTTCATACTACGACGTTAATACATCTTTTATACATTAGCTCATCCATGAACATGATTTCTGCCCGAGTCCCATCGGATTGCTTTGGCTGTGGGGATGAAGACGACAACTCTCATGATTCCACACTCAGTCATCTAACTACACCTTTGTTTCTTTGTTTGTTTTGAATGCGCGCCCTCTAGTGGCAAAAAATTACATATTGTGCCTTTAATATTTAGTCTTTAAAAATGTACACGTATAACTTTTTAGAGCATACATGTAAATGTATTATAAATAATTAAGTCCACTCTATTTAAAAAAAAAATCTCATTCATTATCACTCTCTCTGTTTTCTACTTATTTATTTTGTTTAGGTCTTCCTATTCCTCTCTCGCTTCCAACCGCTCAACACTTTCTTCTCTCTCTTTTTCACAGATTCTGGAGCTGGTCAAGGGAATGCACTATCAGCTGGCCTGCCAGAAGTACTTTGAGCTGACACACAATGTAAGGATGCTTTTTATTTTGGCCTGCTCTAATTGGGCCTGCTTTTGTCAGCTCAGGGACAGCCATGCAAAGTCTTTACAGAGCCTGACTGTTGTAGTCACATCTGCTATTAGCTTTAAATCCAATAGAATCTTAATTTGTGAAGTTTTGTTTAGTGCTTTAAGATTCATTAATCCTCTGATACATGCTACAAGTACAGATCTTTTTTTTAACCATTTATGAGCAACATGGGTGATTACACTGATTTGGCTCCATCCCAAATGGTGCACTTTATGTGAATTTGCAGACTGGAAGTGATCATTGCTTGTGTCAGTGAAGTCCATGGACCCGTAGGGTGTCTCATTTGACATTTGAGGGCTTAGGGTGGCATTTAGGACAGGGCCTTTGTCATAGTGTTGTTTTATTTATAACATCAATTCAGCATGGCTGACAGAAATGGTAGTGCACCAAATATCTCTGGAATATGTACATTTTATTGCAATGGCCTGATGTGTAATTCTCTCAGACACAGTTACAGATTGGGATTACGTTACATTTTTTTTTTCTTTTCATTTCTGATTTAATAATTCATGCATCAAAGTGTTAAGCCTTCAATACGTTTAGAACTTTTATCATCCAAAGCTTTCTGGTGAAGACTAGATCAGCATTGTCCATTCAAGGTCATTAATATATTCAAAGCATGTTTAAGGCTAATATTGTAGTTATATTTTCAGGCCAAGTGAGCACAAACTCTTATTAAATGATAAATGTGCTGAACCTTTGCTTTTTCTATTTGGATTGCCCTTTGAGATTGGACTTTTCAAGGGCTTTGCGGTTTCAATATGCTTTCTTTTGACAGGGGCATAATAGAGGTGGATTTGTGTGTCAGAACTGGTTGAGAAAGCAAATGATTACAGCTCTATTTAAATGGTTATCTAATGGATTTCTTATGATTCCTTCTTCATTTTTTATATTGGAGGGGGTGGATATGACTCTGGCAATAACTTTTCTGCATTTTTTTTTTTTTTTCCTGAGAGGAGAGAAATATTTCCGAGCGATGTCAGTCAAGATTACCTGTGTGACACCTGTGCCCTGTCCCTCTGCTAAAAATGCAGCCCAGCTGACAGGTTGAGAATGGAAAAAGTGCACACACCAATGCCACACAAACGCATGCTATCTGCTAGGTGACAGGTTAATATGAAGAGGGAGAAAAGACCGTCTGGGATATGAAAGAGATTGGTAAACCTTTCAGATGTTTGTCAGCAGTGTGTTGCTAGATGGATTTTAAACAGGGAGGCTTTAGCAACAAGTAAACTTATGAGCCATTTTTCAGTATCTACCAGAAACTTTTAGAGCAGATCTACTTATAATGCTAATGTGAAATAATCAATTTTTATGAGTAGTTTTGATTAATTGATTTTTGCGAATTCATAGTAAACGGGTTATTTTCTTTTCACTTTAGTTTTTCTTAGTTTTCAATCTGTCATTGTTATTTTTTTCTAATTATAGTTTGTGTGTTTATTTATTTATTTTTTGTATTTTAGGGCTGCTAAAGTTAATGGTGTTACATTTTTTCATCACTGTTTTATTGTATATTTATGTTATACTATACCATGATTTTAAAACTAAATTTTTTTTTGTGGCCACATTAAAAATATATACATATGCTCATATACATATGCTCATTAAGACTGCATTTATTTGATAAGAAATAAAGTAAAAATGAAAAATTGTGATTTTTTTTTTTTTTTTTTTTACGATTTAAAGTCCGCATTTATTTGAAATAGAAATCTTTTGTAATAGTATAAATGTATTTCCTCACTTTAATGAATCCTTAATAAAATCTTAATTTAAATAAAAGATTGTATTTACTCCAAATATTGAACTGTAGTAAACTGTAGTTAATTTGAGTCATGAAAATGTATTTTAGTTTAGTTCAGTTTTCCTCAGTTATGTTGTTTTTATTATTTTCATTTCAGTTCTTGTTTCGGTTTTCATAATTATTAACAACACTGCAAAAGAAAAGTCCTACACACATCTTTGTAAACACTTCAGATCATATATGCTGCTGTTCTTGCTGTTGTTGATGCTTTAGCTCAGTGTCGAAATAAGTCAATCAAAGAGTGTGTATAAATTTCTAATCTCTTGCACGTCTAGATTTATTCCTTCAATAAGAAGGGTTTATAACAGTGTTTGTGTCTGCGCCACCCCTCTTTTAATGCCGTGATGCACTCAAAGTGTCATTGATAGGATATAATGGCTTTTAATGGCTCCTGGTGAAACGCCAGCGCCTTTGCAGTCCAAGGGCATCATTTAGCTCATGGCCCCGGGGCGCTCGGGACTGGGGTCATCGCTGATGACTAATAGCCCTGAGCCAAACAGTGCGAATGGCTTATGATGTGGGAAAATGAATAAGATGGCGTCCCTGATGAACCGCCTGCAATAACAGGATTTGAAAGATAAACTGCCCCCTCCCTCCTACCAACCCCAATGAAAATCACATCTCTGAAATTCATGACTCATATTTTAGGGTAGGTGAACGAAGAATCCTCCGACGTTAACAGGCACAATAAAACATTCTTGTTGGAGCATCAGTGGATCCGCACAACCTCACCTTTCCTCTATCTGATACGGGATGCCGCAACCATCTTGGCCGCAAAAACACGCTTGTTGGATTTGAGCGTAGGGGACTTTAATCACTGCCATATGCGCCCTCTGTTTTCACATCCGCGACACATAACAAATAGACGCTTACATTCCTCCCTCTCTGGCAGCATTTATTTAAAGGTCAAAATGTAATACTTCTCTGATGAAATATTTACACAACTGTAATAAATCACACAATAGAGAGAATAATGAAAAGGAGGAGGGGAGCTGAAAGAGGCGGACTTCGGAAAGAGGAGAGCTTGTTGCGCATCCGCCGAATTGATTCCGTCTCTGGGCCTCGGCTGGGATTGTTTCATGTTTATTCATATTTCATTTGGCGCAGAGTCGCCGGGCGAGGGTAGTCCACTGTAATGTGTTAACTCTGAGATGAATCTGTGTAATGGATCTTTCTGTCCACAGCTTAACTACCGCAGGGACCCCGTGCACTCGATTCAAAGAGATGGGTTTGAACGTTTGATTCATGAGGAGTATCAGGGGCGTGCTGTGATTGAAGCATAATTAAACGGCCATATCCTCTACACTTAGAAACAAATGATTTGCGCAGCGTTCTGAATGCAATGCAGCTTTCAGGAATCCATCGGTGAGAGGCTTTGCCATAGAAGAAAGGAAAGGAGAGATTGCATAGTAGCCTGAAAGTCCCTGTGTAGCCTGGTTCAATGCAATTATTTAAACGTTGTTTAAATAATAAATACACACTATTTCAAATGCAAGTATAGTCATTTGCTTACTAAACGCTGTTGTTTGTTACAGGTTGAGGATGCTGGGTTTTCTCTCAATCACCCTAACCAGTACTTCACTGAGAGTCAGAAGCTTCTGGAAGGAGGCCGTGAAATCAAGAAAGAAGTTGATATGTCACAAAGAAGCCAAGAAAATCCTGCCAACATGACCCGTCCATCTCAGGCAAACTCCAAACAGGCCCATGAGGAGATGGGGGATTTAGACTCCTTCTTCCAAGATGAATGATTTTGTAGAACTTGTATCAAATTTGAAATGAATAGACCCTATAGGGCCCTTACTTGCATTCACTGTATTTGATACAAATTGTGTTTTCAATAATAGAAAGATTTGATCTGGTTGTTTTTTCCTTATCCTTTTGGTGATAAGATTTTTTCAAATGACCTGGTTTTTATAAAAAAATAATGAATCAAATAAAATAAAAATAATTTTTGCATTTCATAAAAGCGTTTTCCATTTTTACTTATTTGTTTTACTTGCTACCAGCATTGAAAACTCGCCTCAACCTATTAAGTAATAATCTGTGTAATGATCATCTGTTTAATCTCACGGTTTCCAGTGATACAGTGATGACTTGACATAAACTACTGTTCAAAAGTTTGGGGGTCAGTAAAAATATTTTTTAATAAATTAATGCATTCATTCATCAAGGATGCATTAAATTGATCAAAATAATCCTGGGAAAAAAATGTATCATGTACATCTGCTTTCAACTTTGATAAGAAATGTTTCTTGAGCAGCAAATCAGCATATTAGAATGATTTCTGAAGGATCACGTGACACTGAAGACTGGGGTAATAACTGCTGAAAATTCAGCTTTCCAATTAAATATAAATTACATTTTAAAATATTTTAAAACCGAAAACAGTTATTTTAAATTGTAATAATATTTCACAATATTTAAAAAGTAGTGCATTTTTTCAAAAGGGAATCTCAGAATTTACATTTGCCTGAAATTTAATTGGCAGATGCTTTTATCTGAAGTGACTTTGTATCCAAGCTGTAAATTGTGTTTCCAGGGAATCAAACCCATGACCTTGGTGGTGTTAGTGCCATGCTGTACCAGTTGAGCTACATGGACAGAAATTGATTTAGACTGACAAAAGCATACAGGTGGCCATGAGAATCAGGGTATCCGTGTATCATTCGATCATTCGTTTTTTTATTTAACATTGAAAGTAGAAAAATGAGAAAACAGCTCCTTTTTCGTGTTTTTGTTTTTTTCCGAAAAACGAGAATTCAACTTAAATTTTCGTTTTTCGTTCTTCGTTCATGGGTGGAAAAATGAATAAACAGCTTGAATATTCGATTTCTACACGTGGGCGATAATTAAACGCCCCTTTCTGCTGATTGGTCAGCCGAAGATCAAACCGTGCCGTCATCAGTTCTTCTGCAGTATCACGCAGCAGAATAATAGTCCTCCGCTGCTGCAGATGTACAGATTAATAACCCATGTTATTGCAACTACATTTCATATTTTTCTCATCAAACAAACAGGCTAATGAATAGCTCGACACAACTCGTACCGGGGCAGAGTCTAGACAGGTCTTTCTTCTGTGTAGACCAGCAGTTCTTAAAGTGATAGGGGGTCCGAGAAATAATTTGCTATAGCCTAAAGTATTTCCAGACTGTAAAGTAGTTTTTTTTATCATGATACATAGGCCTACTGTGATTTATTCCAAAGTGACTTATATGATGCATTTAATGTAAAAATCTAAATGAAGCCTTTTAAAAGATGAGTATTCCCTGTGGTTCATGTTTGTGGCATGCACCAGAAAAATGCTCAAGGAGACAGAGAGGCGCTAAAGCAGCGCATTCTGTTCTCTTTATTAAGGCATGACATTGTGTAGTTATTTTGAACGTAACGTTACACAATTAAAAATATACATTTTACCATACGACTAATGACAGTGTATTAAGTTATTTCCCCTCGATGGGGAAAAAAATCCAAGTGAACATCAATCAGTACTCAATATTAATTTAAACTGCTTTAAATATGACTGCTGCTTATTTCCTGAAAATCTTGCGTTGCAGTGCGAGAGCGCAGTAGCTCACGCCGCGCACAAGTGCATATCCTTTTGAGATATCATATCAATTATAATAAATTTTAATAAAACACAAGACTACATTGTATAACTCTAACAGTAGGCTATATTTAATATCTGTTGTTCTCCGGTTGTCAGTCAGAATGACAGTTCTTGCGTGAACATAGGCCTATATTTACCCAAGCCAATTTATTATTCTTTCCTTTTTGTCTTAGTGTTTAAAATATTTATTTTGAAATGAATTAATTAATTACTTAGACTTACTGGGTGAGCAGGGTAGGCTAAAACAGCTGTCATATCATACCCTGCCATGCCCAGCTGATGCAAAGAATATAATTTATTTCTACACAGAAGAAAGCCCTGTCTTGACTCTGCCCAGGTATGAGTAGTGTTGAGCTATTCATTAGCCTGTTTGTTTGATGAAAAAAGACTAAATGTAGTTGCAATAAATGCATTAAGAATCCATATAACTGCAGCAGTGGAGGACTATTATTCTGCTATACTGCGAAGGCACGGTTTAAAGACTAAATGTAGTTGCAATACATGCATTAAGAATCCATATAACTGCAGCAGCGGAGGACTATTATTCTGCTGCGTGATACTGCAAAGGCATGGTTTGATCTTCGGCTGACCAATCAGCAGAAAGGGGCGTTTAATTCCCACCCACGTGTAGAAATCGAATATTCAAGCTGTTTATTCATTTTTCCACCCAAGAACGAAAAACGAAAATTTAAGCTGAATTCTGCTTTTTCGTGTTTTGGAAAAAAACGAAAATACGAAAAAGGAGCAGTTTTCTAATTTTTCTACTTTCAATATTAAATAAAAAAACTAATGATCGAATGATACACGGATTATGAGTGTACTGCCGCATTTGATCGTCACTCTAGAAAATAAAAACAAGACCGTAGTAGTGCTGGGCGGTATGACCAAAAATTTATATCACGGTATATTTCAAAATTATACCGGTTTCACGGTACATGACAATCATTTTTTTCATGTATAACAAGTTTTCTACTAAATTATATACTGAATGAGAGAGGAA